AACCTCATGTACCACAGGAAACTTCCTGTGCATTCTGTGGTGACTGCAGTGTGTTTTTCATTTGTGTTTTTCCTCCTTGTCTGCTGCTTGAAATCAAACACTGGCTGCCAAAAGTAAACTTCTCTGAGCCAGCAGCGGCAACACTGTGTGAAGAACCACATAAGAAGACTCTAGCCTGTTTACCCTTGAGTGAAACTATTCCCTTGTGTGCTTTTGAACACGGAGGAATGTGAGAATCAGCTCAAAGAATACCAAGGTTGACTGCACTATTGACGCTGCCCCTGTGTTTATCTGCTTACACTGAGATAAGAGATTGGATCTAACCTCTTTGTCAACATGGAAACACAATAATTATCAAGTTTTAAGGATGATTTATGAGAGGGAGACCATTTGTGAGAACCACCAACAGTAGAAAATAATTCTGACAAATTAAGTAAACAAAGAAAAGCAATAAAAACTAAAAAGAAAAAAACATGAAGAAGACATCGAGAGTCTGCAGATGAGAGGATGCTTGGTATAGATAGCTCTATCTTCAGTTGTGTCACCAAACCACCTCAGGGTTGAATCAGACCAGTGTCTGACTCCAGTTAGGAACACACATAGTGATGGAGAGACCCTTGATTCTTATGATACTCAATTACAAGTAAATTCCTGAACTTATTTTTTCAAATAAAAGTACAGAGGTATTATAACTGCTAAGTGTACAATGAAAAGCAAAAGTATGTATTATATATGTTATATTATTATGTATTATAACAGAATATTAGTACTGATTTGTAGTTTTTGTTTAGCTGTTTAGTGAGCTGAGTAAGTATAGTAAGATAACTGTATGACATTGTAGTTAATCATATGTTATGTAAATTCATAAGTAACTTGTAAATGAAGCTGTCAAAGGTAGAACAAAATAAATTATAATAAAGTTTTTTACGCATAAAACAGTACTAGGTAGCTACAAAACTGTACTTAGGTAAGATACTTGAATTAATGTACTTGGTTAAATTCCACCACCGCAAAGAAAAAGTCTATTTCACACAATGCAAAATGCACAAATCAAAGGTTTGAAGTGAAAACGGTCTCTTATTATAAAAACTAAAAAAAGAAAGATATACCTAAAACCTTAAATTTGAGAGACATAGAACTTCCCTAATTTCAGCATACTTTTAGACACCTGCACCCTCTCCCTCCCATTTTGCTAATGGAAAGTCCCAAGGGCACCCAGCTGTGACCTCTGACCCCAGACACTATAATTATATTATATGAATGAAAAAAATGGAGAGTCCTCAAGTGCAGGGCCATAAAAAGACTGAAACAAACCTCTATTCTTAAAAATAAATTTGTTGCAAAGTACAATTATGAGATAAAACAAGTAATAAACTGAAGTAAGACCATGTATGTGTGTCAGACTGAGCTGTAAGAGAGAGGAGAGTTATTACAAATGTGTGTGATTGCTGCAGAAAATGTGTAAACTGACACTTGATCCCAGCTGCCACAAACAAGCCTTTTGTGACAAAATTATGAGATAATTCATCTGAATATATCAACAAATAGAACATAGCTTCATGGAAAATATATGTGAGATCCCGATGGAGAAGATTAAAGCTCATGAGAGTATGTTGACAGTGCAGCTAAGTGATCTATTACATGTTTAAAAAAGCATTAGAGAGTGTTCTCAGGGTGTTTCCAGCTGCATTTACTACCACCCCTCTCCAACTGTTTATCTGCTTTAGGGCCCTCTTGTATTCAGTTTCCCACTGGGCGTTACACTAATATACACGCACATACACACACACAGCCAGCTCAAACCAAGATGCGAGGCACAAAGAGAAATTTGCTGTCATACAAACAAACATATACACAGTCAGGATCCTGAGAAAGCACAGTGAGAGAGCAGGTGTCAGTTTTCACATGCAGCTCTCATGGGGGCTTCACAGGGTAAATATCAGCCCACGTTTTCTGAGCTCCTAGCGTTGGTCCTTCTCACAGCCTCTGGCTGCCTTTTGACTCTGACTACAGCCGAGGAGCCACTCACCTGCACAGAGAGATGGGAAAATGCAAACTGCTGACTGATTACAATACAAGACTACAGCCAAGTCCAAAGGTTTGGATACCCTTACTTTGAAATGGCAAAAAGGATTAAAACAGATTTTTTTTTTCTCATCAACATACTATTTAATACACATTCAGCAAGTACAACTGTGTGTTCATCAAGAGAAGTAAGAATAGAAATGTATACAAATAATGTTATAGTAAAAATAATGAAAATCACATCAGTGCAGATGTTTGCATCCCCCTTTATGAAATGTTCTCTAATTCTTTGTTTGACCTTCTTAACCTTAACCTCCAACCTCTTTGCATTCAGGATATCAATGTTTTTCTCATCCCACCCTAAAATAACTTAAATAACCTAAACAAACGTGTCGCCTTTATTTCTTAGCCACTGAAACACTGTCCGTTTCCAGCCTACAGTAGAACTAACTCAGCACAGCATGAGGTGCAGCGCAATCCTGAGGTGGGAAGGATAATGTTCTGACTATGTCATTGCCAGCAGATATATGACTCTGTGCAGGAAAACAAACACCAGTGATGTCAGATCGATCAGATTAGCACTGAGGTGCCATGCTGCTGAATAGTCTGAGAACAAGGGCATCGTAACTTCTCAGCTTAGATCATGTTGTGCTCCAAACCTCCCGACCTTCCCTCTGATGTAGCACATGCTGTATAAAGGTTGTGTCTGACAAATCTGAATGGCGAGTGCTCTGTCACAAATTGGTCTTGATACAGCATAGTGTATCCAGCACATACCATAACTCCACATTAGCCTTTTTCAAACAAAAATTTGCACATGATTGTGTTTCTGAATTGCTCTTGCTCTTATAAAGCCTAGTAAACATACAACGCTAATATAAAGACACTACCTGACACTATACCCTTGTGTCTGAAACAGTGAGAAGAAACAGCGAGAACATTTTAGACAATGTCAAGGCCCTGTGAATACAAGTAACACCACACTGTCACTACATCCTCTCTGTGTTTGCACACAGTCACACATATACCATGTAAATAGACACGCCACCAACATATCTATGCAAACTCTTGTAAACGTACAGCAGCACTGTTTGAAGACGCTATCATTGACAAGCCAGTGAGAACGCAAGGGGACACAGAGAGCCAAAAATCTGGAGGAATCTGGTTCAGTGGTTACAGTCTGAGGACAAGCAGACAGTGTTTCATTAGAGTCAAAGATGGCTTTGTCCTGGATGCAGAACGGAAACAACCAGAGCCGACGGTTCACACACTCAGACTGACCTTTAATAGTAACTGAGACACTAGTTCTAGTAATTTCACATAAATATTCATTAAATCTTTGGTTAACAGATCAAATGTTTTTATAATAAATAAATCGCAGACAGTGCAAAACATGTAATAAAGCAGCGTGTATTCTGGACAAGCCAGAACCCAGAATTGTTTGACATTTTCAGAAATATTCTTCACTTTCTTGCAGCGAGTCTGATGAGAAGATCAATACCACTCTGATTTCTGTGCTAAATGTGAAGAGATAACCACAGGATACTTAGCTTAACTTAGCACAAAGCAGAGGAAACAGCTAGTCTGTGTAAACTAAGCTAAGATAACTGGCAACTAAAACAAATGACAACCACATTTAATGAGCTTAATCTCAGTATGTTTGAACTCTAAGATCTTACGCACATTATACAACCACATGAGAGCATTTAATATAAGACTGTAGTTCAGGTCATTCCAGAGTCACAAAGTGTGTGTGTGCTTTTGTTTTAATGGACACGTGTGCGTATAAAAGCACGCTGATATGTTTGACAAAGTGTGTAAATTTGACTGTCCGTGTCTGAAAACACTGCACACATGTGGATGCTATGACACATTTCTGAAGTCCATCTATAGGTTTGGGCAGTAATGTATTCTTCCTCTGTCTTCTTGCCCTGACTGAGTCACCCCCTGTCGCTCTGCACTTTAAACTCTGCTGCTTTGAAATGCTCTGCAGAAAACAAAGCTCTGTCCTGATGCAGACAATGAAGCAGCTGGATTTCTGCACATGTGCCTTTGTGCTGGTCTGAGGCCTTGTCATAACTCCATCGGGGCGGCCTTGCCTTTCATCACACACTCATGCTAGTGCTAAAACACACACAGCCTCCGAAGGTAACTGGCTGGTGGAGATGGATGGCAGTGTCAGTACAAAAGAATATTTGATTTGGTTATAAATACCGCAACATGAAGGAGAAGCCCGGCCGGGCAAAGGGCAGAGGCCACGACAACCCGAGGAGCCAAAATCTTTGTCATTACTACCTTTGGCTGACAATCAGGCATTACTGAACTGTAAGTAGTGCTTATTTATCCTTTTATTGATTGCAGTTTACTTGTTTAATTGCCTTGATTTATTTATAGTCTCATGAGCTTCTGAAATGACCAATGCTGTGAAAAAATGCTGCAGAATGAAGCAGATAAGCTATTGATCCAATCCGTACTGTATTTTATATAAGCAAGTTCAGTGGATCTGGGATGCTAAACATCAGCCAAAACTAAATATGCAAAGAAACATTTTCTTTGTATTCAAGTCTAACAACCATTAGTGGCTATGAAAGAAACATTTGACAACCAAGATATCCCTGCTATAAAAGTTCATTAAAAGGTTTTGTATTTAAACTACCCCCTCTGCTCAAAAGCAGGTTTTCTGTGAAGGAGGCTAGAAGACATTTTGTGTTCAGGCACAAAATACTATTGAACTCAGACTCTTAAATCCTGTCTGGGGGGGGTCTTTAATGATTTCTGCAAACTCGCTGTGCAAGTATTTTCTAGACAGACATGTCCAGGACAATAGTGAATAGTGACTTGGTGTGATCCATGCTCATTGTGCAGGTCAGACTACCCCCCCGCCCACCCTTCTGTGTGAGAGAGGTTTAAAGTTTCTCTTGTCGCACTCTGATTGGTCAGTGAAGTTTTTCTGAGGGGGAATAAGTTCGGAGCTCTTGAGCTCCCCTGACTCACAGCAGCCTGAACGGTACAGAGCAGAGGATAGAGAGTTTAGCAGCGTCCTCTTATCTCACGGAGCACGATAAGAGGACACAAAACTATGGAGATTATTCTAGAAAGACTAAGATTTGTTTTATAGATGAATGTCACCCGCAAAAGTTTAGGACGTCGCAACTTCGGAATAATCTGTCTCTGACTTTTTAAACATTTGCATCATCAGCTGTCGAAAATGTATGACTTTGGGATTAACGCAGTTGGGATTTTACTTTTTGCCATTTCTGGCGTGGCTTTTTCCAACTACTCCGAAGACCAGTGCAGCTGGAAAGGCAGGCAAGTTGGTTTCTAATGTATTTATTTATGTATTCTTTAATCTGAGCCGTGTCTGCGTCTGGTTCAATGAAAAGGTGGTTTAAAGCTGCGGGTGTCTTGTTCCTTGGTGAAGGACAATGCTCGTTCGGATGCAACATGTTGAGACTTGCCATTAGGGCACAATTAAAATGTTTGTAGAGCTGTGCTGTGATAGCGCCTCCCGGCTGTCTGCAGGGGCCACGGCGGGTCCAGACAGTCAGGAGGCTGAGGGATTAATTCGGATACTTGGAAAAACACAGTGTGCGTGCAGTTGCTGAAGCATAGCTTCATCCTAACTATGTTGTAAAAATACCTGCAGAGTTTATAAGTCTGGTCCTACAGATGTGAAGCGCGGGCCTCGGAACAGCAGCCCTGCCGCGGCGTCTTCCCCTCAGTGTCAGTGTGAAGAAGTCTTGGTCTAAAGCTGGTTTTTAAATGTCATCTTGGGTTTCTACACATTTCTCATGAAAACTTTGGCTTAAGTTGCCTGTCTGCAGGGCTTTTATTTAATCCAGCTCAAATTGACCAAACTTACAGTTAATCAGTGCAGCTGTTTCCGTAAAGTATCCACTGATGATGATGATGATGATGATGATGATAAGCCCAAGCGTATGCATGGAAAATTACAACACAAAACTTAATTTAACTTTCACCTCCACCTCTTTTCATTCAATGGCACAGTGGTTTGTCCCAGCAGCGGGGCAGCGTGGAGCAGCTTTCCCTCCACTGCTCTGAGGGCACTCTGGACTGGCTGTATCCCAAAGGAGCCCTGCGCCTCACCCTCTCACCCCGCCTGCCCTCTGTGGCAGTGGGGCCTGGCGGCAGCAGCTCGGGCCTCATCACGGCCTGCATCAAGCCCTCAGAGCAGTTCCATGGAGCCCAGCTGTACCTGGAGAGAGACGGGGTCCTGGAGCTGTTGGTAGGGGACCGCCTGGAGTCCTCTCCCCCACCCAGGGTTCGCTGCTTCAGTCGGCTGCCTGGGGAGAGGGTGGCCCTGTTCCTGCAAGCTACACCTCATCAGGACATCAGCAGGAGGATCGCTTCCTTTCACTATGAGCTGAGAGGGGACTGGACCGCTCGCCTGTCACTGGACTCCAACGTCATCAGCAGTGAAGGTGAGTCAGTGAGGCATCAGTCAGCCATGTTGGTTGGAACGAGGCTACACAAGATCAAATATGAGAAGACAAATATAAATATATATGAGGAGCTTTTCTACTTTAATTTGTCATTTCCAGTTCTTCGGAACTCTCAGTTCACTTAATCATTTCTAAGAAACAATCATCTTTGTGTTAGTTGCTGTGTGAACCCCTGAAGTTTTACATTGTTTCTGTATGGATGTCAAAAGATCCTTCGTTACATAGAACTCTTTAAAGTAAACACTCTATCTTCCTTCTTGAAAAGGTTGGGGGATTCAAACTTTTAACCCACCTTTGAGGATCATATATACCATAAAATCCTCACTCTAGATGATTCATAATTCCTAAGAGGCCTTTGTGGGCTGGTTGGACTTTCCATTACCCATGAGAGAATGCAGACAGGAGGAAGTGGCCAAACTTTCCCCAGAGGCATGCTGGCTCAGAGTAGGAGAAGGGGAGCTGTGGAGGGGTGGGGGACAAAAGCACAGTATGTGGGGCTTTCTCCAGAGTCCAGAGCCCTTTGAATGGGTGCCACATGAGTATTCTGGGATTACTGCCATCGCCTAGGTGACAAGGAGGCCTCTGCCCAGCTGAGATGCTCCCTTTTTTTGTTGAGCTTCTTCTCTGTGGGGAGAGTAGGAGTACACCTCTGCCACCACAGTGATTAGGTTAGGAAGGGGGTTTGCTGTAGAGAGGAAGGGATCTCATTTATCAGGAGGTTTTCACTGAGGGGCAGAATGTGTGGGGTGGGCAAGGGCCCTTGAAAGAACCATAAGGAGCACTTTAAAAAATGCCAGGACTTTTTTCTTTCTAGCTACAGTTGAGTCAAAGCAGACAGCCAGAGCTGTTGTTCGGGTTTTATCTGTTTTTTGTGGCCATCTGCAAGTCCTGGTATAAATTTCAATATTATTCAGGCCTTAGTAGAAAAGGGGAGAATGGGATGGTGCTCCTTCTAAAAACTGTTGAAGTCCTCCCCCGACTCCCTCTCTGTGGACCCTATCTAGACTTTGATGAGGTGTGACTGTAGACACCCTGCCAGGTTTAAGGGGTGGAAGTTTCATTTGGCCTGTAAATTATCTGGAGTGGGAGAGGCCTACAACTTAAAGCTCCACTGGTCCTTCTCTGCCAAAAAAGTAGCAGTAAAAGTAAAGTAGCAGTCTGTTTGAGCTCAGTGGTCAGTCTCTCCCTTGTTGCTTGTTTTTGCACAGAGTTCTAGGTTGGGATTCACGCCCCACGCTCCTTGCATATGATCTGGAAACACAGTCTTTGATTCCCACAAGCTCAGTATTAGATTGTAGGCGTTTTCTAGCAGTTTAGATTGTTATGTAAGGTCACCAAATGACCCCATCTCTTTGTCTTCCCCTCATCTCTCCAGATGCCTGCAGACCCTGCAACAACACAGAGATTCTCATGGCCGTTTGCACCAGTGACTTTGGTAAGTTATTTGAAGTTGCCGATGTAGCATTTAAAAACACAGCAAACCAGAATGAAGCCACCGAGACCCTCCTCAGACTCAGCCAGGCTTAACATACAGTATATGACATCACCAAATGGCAAGAAATCCCTGTAGCAAGCTGCAGAATGTAACAATTTCTTGTCAGGATCCACAAATCACTTGTCTGAAATCGGTGTAATCCACCTCCAAATCCTCTCCTCTTAGAAGTGCAAAGGTCAAAGGTGAAACAGCAGCTCTCTGCATCCCCCATCACACACACACAGGAATCCCTCCTAAATGCACTGTAGTGGACTAGTCCCAGCATCACCCCCCTAGAGAAGGAGCAGTGGACTAATCTGCAGGCCCCTGATTGAGGTATACTGCTCCATTTACCTCGGAGGTCAGAAGTCAGAGTTGGAAATGATGTAGCACCTGAGTTGATCGCATTCCAGTAGTTGGGAAAACCAAACATTGACAGAGTTTGTTCCTGTTAGCCATTTTTAGCGACGCTAGTTTATAACAACAAATTGTGCAGTGTCAGCACTTACAAACATTGTAGCAGCTGTTACAGTAAAACACAAATAAGACAGAAGTGCTAATAAATGGTATATTACTACACCTTACATGACTGTTTATGCCTGGTGCAGCCAGGGTCGGTGTGGTTCCTTCGACTTTACAAGTAGGAATTCTGTCTTCAGGGGGCGTTCCAGTTGAAATTTCCAACTGCAAACTCAGAAATTCTTGACTTCAAATGGAAAGCAGTGTAAGGCTGGGTTCAGACTGAATTCCAAAGGTGTAAAGAAACGTAGCCCTCTCCATTAATTTCTATGGGGGATTGTGCACCACAGCTGGCACCAGCACCGCAGGAGGCTTGGGTAAAATAATGCAACCCTGCACGGCGAAAAAGTGGGATCTGGTTCAACTTTCATCGCACTGAAGGGTGACATCATCCAGCAAAGGCTCTGCATTGGCCAATCAGGCAGGGAGCTGCGTATTTACTGGATCAGTCTAAACGTCTGCTAAGGGGACTGAGGAGAAGTTCAGCTGGCAATAACAGCTAAGATTAGTGAGCAGACCTGAGCCTTGTTACAGCCCATAAGGAACCACACCTCTAGCAGAGATATAACATTAGCAAGATGACAAAAAGCCATACATTAGAAGTATGCATTGTAGAGCAATCATAGAAATTGACCTAAATGTCCTGTTTACTCACAGTGGTGCGAGGTAACATTCGTTCTGTGGAGGAAGATGAGAACCTACGAGCAGCAGTGATCAAGGTCAGCGCTACCCGAGTGTTTCGTCAGAAGTACACACTCTTCACAGGCAACAGTCGCCTGGCCAGCAAGGGAGAGATCAGGACTCTGCTGCAGTGTGGTGTTAAACCTGGGCCCGGCAGCTTCCTTTTCACTGGTCGGGTCCACTTTGGGGAGGCCTGGTTGGGCTGCGCTCCCCGCTACAAGGACTTCCAGCAGGCTTACACTATAGCCAAAGCAGCCCAGCAGATACCCTGTGAACTGCCTGTAGACTGAGTTAGAAACTCAGGAGGACCTCGTCTACCATGCAGAATCGAGGCTATAGCAAAAGCCTGGCTAAACTCAGCCCTGTTCTGTGATTCGGAAGCAGCCACAATGTGCAACTAATGGCTGATGTGGCCATGGTGCCACCAATGTATATTCCAGTATCAAGGGCTGAGGAGTGAAATGGACTTTTCCCAGCACCATTTCAGTGCAATATGCAGTCACCTGGTCTTAAAGACCCAAGGAAGTTATGACATAAGGGGCATGGTGGAAATGTAAATGATAAGTATATGGCATTTGACTGGTTTTACACATGATAATGCTATTATGCTGGTTCAGAAAAAATCTGTTGAAAAGTTTTTCTTTCAGGACAAATTCAGTCAAGCCATTAATTCAGGCCTGTTAAGAGTCATTGCTTAGAAACTCAGGTAAATTTATGAAAGGCTCTATAGATGGCTTACTGCCTCTTAGTTGATATCCTGGTGAGAAACCACTTTAGTCACGTGTGTCTGAGATTTCAAAATGGCTACCTTTTGTTCAGAAAATGTTTGGCTATGGGACGGTGATATTTAGGTGGTTACCCCTGTGCAGGGCTACTCCTTAGTGTTGTTGTTATTAAGGAGATTATACAAAAAAGTCCTCAAAATATTTGCACTGACAAAGAAAAGGGAGTGATCTGGAAAGTGTGATGCTGCAAGCACTGCCAACCAAATATAAAAAAAGCAACTATATGTAGCATAGTGGAGCAACTGAGAAATTAATATATGTACAGATAATATGATCACACATACAGTAGCAATACAAAGCTAAGGCTACCTGAGCAGGTGTCACAGCTCAATATAGTGCTGAAAGCACTTTCACATTCCTGCCATCTCTGAGATTTTGTTTCTGTATGGACATCCAGGCTTTTAGGAGTGCTGTATTGAATAGGAAGAGAAAAGTCTTTTTTCCAAGCTACCATATGTTTTATTTCAGTATGCAATATTTCTGCAAAACCGTACCTAATTGGACTGTTTTAAAAAAACGTACTGGTTGTGGGAGTCTTGCCAAAGCAGTTACAAGTTTGGTTGTTGTCAAGTCACCGGCCAATCTTTAATGACACTGCCATATATTACAGCACATAAGAAATTAAAACCATGAAGCAGTTTTTTGCTTTTAAGTAAAACAAGATAGCTATTTTTCAAGAAAACAAAACGAAACATGACAACAGCCATTCTTAACAAGTCCAGTGTTATCTTAAGCTATGAAGGTGATAGAGTGGGGAAACATATAGAAAAACAAAATCTAACTTTTGTGGGAGAAATAACTGACTACACTGGACAAAGGCTTGATCAGTCATAAATATGCATTTGGTGTATAAAGTTCTGTTCTGTAAAATGTTTTCTTATCTACTGTGCACTATATCAACAAGGGGAAGAAGGTCATACCAAATTATGATGATGTGCATCTCTTAAACGTGTACACTGCCATTTTGCTGTTTGTTTCTTATTTTTCATGTGAACTTGTTTTATGTGAATGTAAATATGTTAATAAGAAATTCTAGAAACAAGGGCATGAAAAGGCCTGTGGAAAAAACAACATTGTCTCAGTAGTGTGGATTATTTTTTATGTTTGTCTATGTTATTAAAATATACTGTAAGAAAACTCAATGGCTTTCCAAGGATTTTTTTTCCTGCTTAAATTTGTTTCTCACATACTCATATTTAACCTGATTCTTTAAGACTTTTTAGTACAACTGGGTAATTTCTTGCTCCTTATGCCTCTCAGCTAACAGTTTAACCTGCATTAAAGTATGTGGTGTTTCTACCATGGTAAACTTTTCTCAGACATAAGTCACTTCAAGTACCCTATTAATCAGATCCCTGAAAGCTCAGAACAAATGGCATGCCTGAGAGAGTGAGGGGCCTAAAAGCTGGAGAGATTTAGGGAGTGACTGTGTGCATGTGTGTGTGGATGGGAAAGGAGGTAGAACACAGCGGTTGGAATTCTGTTGTCCTCGGCCTCCCATTTTCAGGATTCAGGAAGCAATAAATTTCCATTAAGGGAGCAGCGTGGCAGGCTCGCCTGAGCAGAGGTGCCACACAGTCGCTCGCTTTGTCCTGCCCACGTGTACACAGGGATACAATCAAACCAAATCTCTTTTCCGCTCCACCTAGCCATACGCCTTCAGCTCGGAGCAAGAGTTTGTTTCCTATTTCAACTCTGATTTCATCTCCAGCTTCACACAGCGTATTGTTACATGTCCATGGTACATTTTGTGCTCAAACACACGAGGAGCTGCATGGTAGACAGTAGAGAAACACCCATAAACCTCTGTGGTAAATTCACCACCTGTTGCTTCTTCTTGCGAAATTCTACACAAACATGTATTGCACACACTTCAGTAAAATTTCCAATTTAGTGCATGTAAATCCGTTTTTAAAAAAAGAGCATCTGGGGAATTAAATGAGGAGGGAGGGGAGGGGAGTTAAATGGGAAAAAAAAAAAATCACAAAAGCTTAGCATGCTTCCTGTGCCCATTTAGCTATCTCTCATAGAAACCCGGACACGGTTTTCTTACTGCATCAGTAGTTCATGTGAGTGAACCTCTAGCCTCCCCTGCTATTAACTGCCTCAGTGCCCCTTTTAAACATTCCATCGGTGGAGGCCCCGAGCTGCTTGGCCCTGCATACACACACGTACTCCACCATCTCCTCCCTTAGTCCGAGGTTACTGCAGTGCTGATAAGCCAAAACAAAGAGCACTTAAATTATACTCCCTCAGCTAATGCATCAGGTGACATTTTGACAAAGCTCAAGTTCCTGCATTGCTGTCACTTCTTTGTGACCCCAGCTTGAACCCCTAAAACTGCAGTATTAATGTCAGTGTCGTGACAGTGACACAGTGGCACAGTTTAGCATTTGGACATTTACATGCATTTTGTTCTTTAGGCTCTATGCTTCAGCACACAATGAGTTAGCATATGTTAATATGTAATAGACCTTTAAACACATAATGCCCAAGGTTGTGGTTTGAAAATAATTGGGCAGATACAGAAGAAACCACACAAAATCACCCTATGTGATATTGTGTGGAAAATCCATGGTAGTGGCCTTCAACTCACAGACATCACCAGACACTTATTATATTCCCTAGTGATGCTCTCCCAGGCCTTCACTGCAGCCACCTTCAGCTCCTGCTTGTTGTGGAGTCTCTCTGCCTTTACTCTTCAGCTCAGTAGGGTTAAGATCAGGTGACTGACTTGGCCAGTTGATGATCTTCCACCTCTTAATCCTAAAAAGGTGATTTACTGCTTTGATTGTATGTTTAGGATCATTGCTCTGCTGAATGATGAAATGTCATCCAGTGAGTTCTGATGAATCTCAGCAGAAAACAAAGCTCCTGTGTACCTCTGCAGTCATCCTGTTGCTTCTGTCAGCAACAAAATCATCAATAAATGTGTGTGCCAGTTGCCAGTTGTGTGCCTAAGTCATAACATAATCAGTCATGTTTGACAGATGAGGCTGTATTCTTTAAATAATGAGTTATTCCCTTTTCCTTTGCTTTTCCCTTTTTCTCTCCACATTCCTCTTTCCATTATTTTGAGAGAGACTGATTTTTGTCTCATTAGTCCATAGCACGTTGCAGAACTCTATCCTTTGAGAGCATTTGTGACTTGGTCTACAGTCAAAAAGGGGTTTTTCATTGCCATGAAAATGATTTTCTTGTCATCCAAAACACTTGTGCTCCTTCAGTGCTGGGTGATTTTAGTTTGTTTTGCAGAATGATGCAGATGCAAACTCCCTTCCCATCCACCCCACTCTTCTCTTCATTCAGCTGAGGTGAGCTTTGGACACAGCAAAGCGGGAAGTACTAAGGAAAGTGAAATCCAAAGAGAGTCTTTGGGTGTGGACTTCCATCAGCCCCTGGGGGAGTTTATGGGAAGTAGCCAGAGACAAAGCTCCAAAGATGAGAGCGCAGACAAGAGTAAAGTGCTCCAGGACACTCCCTTGTTGTTCAGCACAACCACACCTCATCCAGCACAGAGGTCCTACGTTTCCAGCAGCACCTCTCCCTCGTTCATCAATCACACAAACTGGATATGTAAGGTTTCTGTTGAGACATATTTTTTCTTGATAGTTTGTCCTCTGACAATGTTTTTTTGTTATATTATCATTTGTGTCCTATAGCCTGAGCTCTAATCGAGGTCTTCACATGCACCTTATCCACTGGGATCTCTCCACTGTCTATCCATGGATTCAAACACTTCCCAATAAAACATACCAGTCCAACCACCAGTAAAAGAAATGATCAAATTTTTGAAAGCTCACTTAATAAGAAAATTAAAGATAAACAGTATGTGATTATGTATGAAGCCACAAAAGGAAGGGTGTTTCTGTAGAACTTCTTCATGAGGTAGAACACTAAAAAGTCATGAGAAAACAGCTGCTGATTTCATCAGCCTTTATGCTAGTAATCCAACTCGCTGCAACCAAACATCAGACCTACTGCTCTGCCATCTCTTCCTGTGACTCAGTGGCTGTGCATCCTGCTGCCTCTCCATCAGCTCAGCACCAGCTGAGATTGAACATGAAGCCCATGACCACACTTTGGCATCTCAGAATCCCAGCTGACAAATTCTTTTTCCCATAACACCCTTGCACAGCTGGGAGTGATGATCCCCAAATGGAAACTATGAATGTTCAGGTCTGAGAACATGCTAACCTGCTACACACTAAATCTCATGAAACTGCCAGCCATTATTATACAGTACATCTCATGCCTTGATCCTACTTTACACTCCTAAATGCAACAATATTTTAAGTCATACTGGCGTGACGGTGAGAGAGAAAAACACGGTCAGCTCCAAAGTGGAGTGCGCAGTGTGAGCGGTTAAGGCAAAATAGAAACAAATGCAGAGCAGCGTAGAGAGCATGTTTATCTGGGCATGTTATCCCTCTGAAGTATTGAAGGGAGGAGAGCGTGGAGACCCCTTTGTTCCTCAAGAGCCTGCAGATGGCTGTAATCCCTTCCAAAATGTGCACTGAAAATCAATCAAGACAGGGTGGACATGGTGTATGAGTGTGGAGGCGGGCGACAATTTTCTCAGGGAGGGGGTCCCACAAAGAAACACAAGTTGGGTCAAACACGCGTCTTTGGTGCTTTCCCGCCAAAAAAAGTATTGTAAGGAAAGACAGAGGGAATGAATTGCTACCCCCACCAGTGAAGGCCCGCTCACTACCCCTCTGTTTGAGCACAGCTGCCATCTCTGCACAGTATCCAACCACCACAAAAACCTGACATCATACTCTGATAAGCCCAGGATGAGTATAGAGGATGGATGGATAGATGTGTTATTCATATAGCACATTAAACACCACCAATGTTGCCCAAAGGGCTTCACAATTCCGTATATTAAGTAAAGGAGGAAAGAAGATAGTAAATGAATATACACCACTCCTGATAAAAGATGCCAGAGCTCTATTTGGTATAAAATACCAAAGTGAATAAGTACGTCTTTAGCTTTGTTTTAAATAGTGCTTGGTCAGAAATGGACCAGATCTCTGGGAGTAAGGCATACCACAGTCTGGGAGCAACCAAAGCAAAAGCCCTGTCACCCCACCTCAATCTCAGGACATCCAAAAGAAATTGGATGGAGGACCTGAGGTATCTACAGTGTACAGGCAACCAAAAGTTTAGCCAAATAGGATGGAACTTTACCGCTGAGAGCATTAAAACAAACAACAAGAGTTTAATATTAATCCTAAAATGTATTGGAAGCCAATGGAGTGATTTAAAAAGAATTATAATAATCCAACCTTGAGCTGATAAAAGCATGAAGTGCTCCCTCAAAATGTTCACATGTTAAAATAGTCTTCACCTTGAATAAAAGGTGAAGCTGAAAAAAGCTAGCTAGTTAAATTGATTGTAGGTTTTTGCAAATGGCTGAATGCAAGAGTCAAAAGTTCCCAAATTCAATTCAGTACTACCTGGAATTAAATGTGAACCAAAAATAATGAATTTGGTTTTAGTCCAGTTGTGATGAAGAAAGGTTTTGTGACAAACTGGGTTTAATATCACCCAGCCAATGAGTGGCAATGAGTTTTCCCTCATTATATCTCAAAGGAAAATACATTTGTACATCAGAAAAACCAGTTATGTTTGTTAATAACTGATCCCAACAAAAGCATCTACAAAGAGAAAAGAACAGGTCCAAGAACAGAACTTTGTGGCACACTGTGGTAAGCAGGGCATGAGAAGAAAAATGATTCCCAAGCATACCTGAGAAACTCCTACTAGATAAATATGATTGAAACCACTTTAAAAATTTCACATCAATCCACTCAATCACTAAAAGACAAAAATGTCAACCTCAAGGTGGTTAGAAGAAAAGTCATAATGTCTGTACAAAATGTTATCACAGTGAGTCCAATGGTGGTGGAGAGACCAACTGGCAGACTGCCATCTGCAGAGTCATGCCACTAGTGTGGCTAAAATATAAACATTCATTAATACTTTTAAACCTTATTTATCATCAGATGATCATTAGTAGCTTGCATTTTACAACAGCTCCCCCTAAGCTGAACGTTTCGTAATACAATGACACTTGAATTCTCCGTGTTTGTTCCTCATGTGATGACATCAGCCTTCTCAGTACAAAACCCCAGACCGAGAGCTGACCCACTGCAGGTAAGCACACCTGTATGCAACCTGCAGTTAACCAAGACTGTGGTTTTCTGACAAAACCTGGGTGATTTTCTACACAAAGGGGAGAAACTTCCCTGGCAGCTCAGTTCAGGTCATCCGTTGCTACCTGCCACCCACCTCAGTGTTTAATCCTGCCGTGCGGCACCACTGCTCAGCCTCCCCTGCTGTACCCCCCTCCCCCCGCTTTATCACTCTCTTCAGAGAAGTCCTCTTAGGTTACCTGCTCAGAGACATACCGCACTGTGCCTATTGTTCAAATTGTTTATTAAAGAAAAAGGTAGGCATGAACGAAACTACCACTCAGTGGTTTTGTTATGTTACTAGTATCTCCTTGCACATTTTTCCTCACAAAACATAGCTTCAGGACATGATTTGTCAACGGATAGTCCTGGTGTGCTGCACTGTAAAATGTGGACGTGATATTTCATTCCCCTTTCATCATGAAACTCTTGCAGCTACTCATTTATTAAATTATTAAAAACATCCAAATGCCATGATGGACTAGAATTTAGCATACCCATCAGACCATTATAAAAATAAACTCAACAGCAACCTGTCACTCACAACAACACTTGTTCAGGATAATCCACAGGCCTATCACTGTTCTGAGCAACAACTTCCAGGCAAATTTCAGTCCTCTACAAATTTCCACACAAATCACAATGAATGTAAAAAAAAAAAATGTTGAGAAAGCTCAAAATTTCAAGGTAACAAACTTCAGTAAACTTTTGAGTTAGACTATTGAACCTATTTTTTAAGCTTGGGCTTTGAGTTCATCCCACTTAATTAATGTACTTCAAGTTCGAGTAACATATTATTTTATATTGCCACAACTTGATACAATGCATGCTGGGAAGTGTATGTAAATAAGATAACAATGTGTCTATATAACTTAAATCAGTGAGTTAACTAAACAGTTCTTTGTACACTTAGTCAACAACTCATGATTTTAAGTTAAACCAAATACATTTGTTTCTTGTTTCCCCCAAGAGAGAGACAAGTTAGCAGAACCTTCTCAATTTGTAATGAATCACAAATTAAAATTCTAATTTATCGAGACACTCACTTTTGTTGAAGCAGCAGATGAGTTTGATTTGTTGGCACAATTAGATTTTTTTTCCTGAATTACTGAAAATTTAAGTTTATAAGTCCTAGCAACTTATAAATTTTGTTTCTGCCAAAGAATATAGTTTTACAGTGAGGAGACAAACATATTTGGCAAATAAAGCCCAAAGTGTTCATGGGTAGGCAGCACTAGAGGAAAGTGGAATGTCTTTTTGGAATTTGATTGGATAATCATTTAGCAGTGTGAAATTGTTGTAGGGGGGGATTTATGTTTATAACAGTAATGAAATGAAACGTTTAAGCTAGTCATGGTGGAATGTGAGTGAGCAGTGCTAAGTGGCTGCTAAGAGCACTTTTCATGTTGGATTGAGTGAAAAGAAAAAGAAACAAACTTGTGAAGCCATTTCTGTGTCAATGTGCTGACAGTCAGGCGGTGAGTTTATATTCCACATTGTGCATCAGCCCAGCCGCTGTGCGAGCCCATCTGATGCGTCAGAAGCTCCTGAGCTTTCCCTTCCCTCTGCTCTAAGCTCATTCCAGGGGAACATGTGCACTGGAATTCTCCCCCAATTAAGACAGGGATTAGCCAGGTCCACTGTGGGAACCGGCAGAGTGTGGGAAAGCAGAGGGTCTCTCCCTCTCTCCTTCCTTCACTGACACTCAGCCTCATTCTCAGTCACTGTTGTTCATCAGGCTGCCTCCCTCCCATCTTTAAAACTCTACCTTTTCTCTTCTCTCACCCAAAATCTTCTTTTCTCACTCTCCATTTTCATCCCTTTTTACCATTTAGCAGCCTCACATCCAAAAATACATCTTTCATTGCTTCCCCTCTCATCTTTACAGTTATGCCTAGCGTCCTCATTTATTTTTTTCTTCCTCCCCCCCCTCTTGCAGCCACCCAGAATCTCCATAGCTTTCAGTCTTAATTCTTCAAGGTTTTCTGAAGTGCACATTTCTTCGGTGCTCCCCTTGCATACCCCTTCCCTCCTCCCTCCTAATGCCACTCCAACCTTCGTACTGAAAGCTTGTCTGGAGAGAAGCTGGGGACTCTCGCATGAATAGTCTGAGACTGTCAGACTGAAGGAGGGGGTTCATTAGAAAAGAAAAGACAGGTGTCTCTGAAAAGAGACAGTTAGTTTTTGTTGGTATGGAAAAATGTATTTCACTAACCTATAGATATATATTGCACATACAATATACACCAAGCTTAAAATGAATCTCAATAAACATCTGTATTATTGGAGAATTCAAAAAACAGCCCATAAAACTTGAATGAGCACTAACAATGTAAACGGGAACATCCTGGTTTGCTGTCACTCCACTTCTTTCTCATGATCCTCCAATGCTATCACTATCACACCACATTCCTCTCCCACATTCCTCGTACTCATTGCCACCTTTTCTTCCTTGTTCCCATTCTCCCTCTCCTTTCCTTGCGTTCACATAAATCCTGTCCTTGTGCACTCCTTCACACAAGGCTTGTCCGTTCCAATTATGACAGGGCCGTCCAGCCCCCCGGCTCACACACACAGCGCGCTCTCATTAAGGCTGTATCAATTAGGCATTAACCTCCTAAAACAAAGGGTCTCTTGACGAGCGACCCATCGGAGGCCATGTGAGGCACTTCCTCTGCATCGCTCCACCCTGCTTCCCATCCTCAGAATAACACATTCATTCAACCTTTTTCCCACTGTTCTGGTCACAAAACAAATCTGGATCCAGTGTGAGATTAATAAAACAGAGGAGAGCGGAGAAAGTGAATGAACGTAAAATGTTTACGTGCAGTTGTGATGTCTATTAGGTCTAGTATAATAATTTCACATAAACCAGAGTGCTAATGTTGGGTGCGTTCTTGTTAAAATCATCCACAATTTTGACATAGATTTGACTTAAACGTCTGCCTGTAACTGTTCTGTGTAGTTAAGAGTTTTCAATTCCCAGGTGAATAAGACAAGACAGTTGGAATTTAAAAAAACACATTCAGTTATTTTATGTCAGATGACAAAGAATTTTTACAAAACATCTAACAGACAAAAAAAAAAAAACCTCAGATGAATATTTGGCATGAGGGCATGGATGTAAAAATTGCAGCTATGTGAAGTCTGAAATGTTACATTTTGATTAAAACAGTCATAAAGGAGTCACAGTGATTTCTCAGATTAAATATAAAATGTTTTGAATTGCATATACTGAAGGACTACATCCAGCCCTGGTTCCCTAAAAACAAGACACAACAATCATCAAATGACATCACAGTAACATTTTATCATCATGTGCTTTACTCTAGATAGCATAAAGCAAAATGATCAGTGATCAATGTCATCTTTTACTAATTATTTAACACCAACAATAGTGTGTGTCCATCTAAACTGTGCCAGAATCCTTTGCCTATATGTTTGATTTATTGAGCTGTGTGCTTTATAAGTACAACCTGGCTTGAACAAACCAGTGAAGCTCAAACTATTTGTTGGACTGACAACACAATGCTGGTGCTCTACATTATTTACCCAGTGTCTTTGTTATATTTTCTACATTTTTTAAAAGCTTTGGACTAAAAATATTACTTAAAAGATTTTTTTGCCACACTTGTGCAACTAAATATAATCTAAATCATTATTATGATCAGTATCTACATCATAATAGGGACCACATATAGCGGTTAATAAAAAGCTGTTCACAGTCCAAGAAGTCAACTTTTCCCCAGTTCTGGAAAAAAACTTGGCACTTTGCCTTGGGGACCAGCTGCGGTGCACCAGACTTCAACCTTTAAATTGATGCATTTGTAACGTTTCATTTCTACTGCGTTTCTTGCTTTTTGTTTCCATTTCATTTGTTCAAATTTGCAGAGGCCTCTGTAGACACACAGCCTTCTCTGTCTTTGCTGGCAGAGCAGCAAAGAACAACCTGGTTTTGATTTTCCCACAGATCTGCCGGTGAGAGTAGTGGTCCCCCAGCACCCGGAGCTTTGGCACAGTGACTATGTTGGCACAGACCCAAGCTGAACACCCCCCACCCCTTTTCCCAGGGCCATGGGAGTCTAATACTTTACTAACAAAATCCCACTTCCCATTCCTCTCAAACTTTCACACCCCTGCTAACCCCCTCTCCCTCCCATGGCTGGCATGCCCCCTGAAAATGCGAATGGGGTGACATGCATATGAGTCTTTCCATCTCCTCTACTTTTCCCATCATTCCCCAGAGTATTTTTACTTAAACCTTTTTAAACAAAAAGCTTAATTTAACACAAACTAACTTTGATGCCACATTTAAAAGGACTTTCTATTTTTAAATTTATGTCAGATGTGACCTGTGGCATGAAACTCAGCCACCAAACACAACTACAAAAAAAAAAAAGACAGAGAGAAAAACAAAACTGCAAATCCCGTCACTGTTAAAGGGGTTTAAAAGGAATAATTGCCTATTCACACCAACACTGAGGTTATAAATATGATGCTTCATTCTGGAAAAAGCCCGGCTTGCTTTCCCCACTGTTCTCGGCAAGGCATTGAGGGAACGTATTCACAAGTGTGTACGTGTCTGGGTAACATTTAATGACATTATTCTCACCAGGGTGACCCCTCATTGTCGCCATGCTTTCTTCTCCTGAGCTCGTGAAATTGACATAAGCTTTACAAACATTCCAGGCATTTTCTTCTCAAGGCCAGATTTCTCTGGGGCCCTTTCACAGGATAAAACAGCAGTATGAGCAGCACCACCTAGTGATGATATAAATCCACATACAAGTCACATACACATTACATTTAAATGCCTAGAACAAGCTATTCAATTAGATTTATATGGAGGATCTATTAAAAATACTTACAATCACCAGGTTATGTATAATTTTACAAAAAATACACTGTTAAGACCAGCAGTGCTTTCATTTTCAGATTTCTTATGTGAATTTACTTAACTTAAATTGTGTAACTTCAGATTATTTTGCTGTACACGATGGTCAGGCTTCTAATGGAGAGATGAACGAGCACTTTGCGAACACCCAGGTGCATCCTCTGTTCCATGTAATCTGCGGAGATGTGTGATCTCCTGTTTGTACCTGCAGGTAGTGGCGAAGTTCAATATACAGAAACGGTGTTCTGAAAGTGAACACAACATGACTTTTACATCAGATGACTTCCTGACCTGCCCAGGTGGCTGTCAATGTAGTCCTGCAGCTCCAGCACCTGCGCTTCTGCGACTGTTGCTCTGGTGATGAGAAGGGCACGCTCCTTCTCAAAGCGCACCTGTTTGAAAAAAGAAAATCTTCAAATCACCTTCATCACAGAAAAGACTATGGATTTGTGTTAAAAATAAAATCTGTTAAAGTCAAACTGAATTTTGTTTACAAGTGTAGACTCTGTAATCTCCTTCAGCTGTTTCCTAATGTCCAGCCAGGATTCTTCCCATAACTGTTCCAGTTTTGCCGACCTGACAAAGTCACATTTTTCATGGTTATTCCACAGCTGATCACATTTGTCATTTGTTAAATATAAAAAATGATGCTTACTCTTGATAGGTTATATTTTGGACAGGCATTTTGAGGACAGCCACCTGGAAGAGAACAATAAGGGTGAAAGTTCACCCTTAGATCATCACAAACATATACATGTAGGTAAAATAACAAAGCAATATGAATGAACATTTCAAGTGTGATATGTTAACAGAATCTGAGCCAGAGTCTGGAACTGTTCACAACACCAGTCACCATGATGGCAACCAGTGTTCTTTTATCCATCAATCAAAACATTATTTGTTTGGCACTTTTCATACAGGTCCTACCACTTAGTGGGACATACACTTTGAACTCTTTTTTTCCCAGTTAACCACTCATAGTTAACACAAATGCTCTTTATAAGGGAAGCATGGATACAAAGGAAACTCCCTACAAGCATTCACCAGACAAACAAAAGCAGATAATCAACTTCAAAGCAGCTACCTTTCTTTTCCACTACCTGCGCCCGGGCCACTTGCAGCTGACCCTCCAGCCTTGCTTTGTCCTGACGAAGGTGCTGAAGTTCCTTCTCAGCTACATCTTGCAGTTCAGTGGGCTCCAAACTGAAGTGGGCTTCTGGAGGTCCAGGGTCCAGACCACTCACTGGTTGGGCCAAGATCTGCTCTCTCTGAACCCTAATATCATGATGTATAGACAGATGAGTTTGGTGATGTTCTATAATTGTCTTATTGTCAACAAATCCCAAAACCAGCAATGAAGTGGCCCTTAACAAGTACTGCTGAGTAGTAGTAGTACAGGATGAACAAACTAGAAATAGTAGGGAAGCTAGTCATTGTTGGCTTCAGTCTTATCATGACATGATGAGCTACTGGTAGCGCATCCTGTGTGGGTAGTGCAAACTGTCAGAACACCAGCTGTGGCAAATGAGAGGCCGGCTACTACCTCACCGAGCTAGGCTATTCATTTGACGACAGACAGCAGAGTAGATACACATTGGTAACATTACCCTTTAACTTAGTATGTATAGATTATTTGTAAATAGCAATACTGGTAAATACTGAATAGCTACTACACAATGTTTTTGCTAGTGTAGGTCATTATGGGTGAGAGGCTTAGTTAATTAGACTAGTCTGACATGATGAGCTACTGGTAGCTCATCATGTGTGGGTAGTGCAAACTGTCAGAACACCAGCTGTAGCAAATGAGAGGCCAGCTACTACCTCACCGAGCTAGGCTATTCATTTGACGAGCCTGGTAACTCGCATTCCTACCTCAGAAACACAAGTGATTCGGCTGGCCACTAGCATTCCCTAGGCTAGTCCAAATCATGAGCATGGGTTACTTAAGTCAAGTTTTTTTATGTAAAGTACTGTTTATTTAATTAATTATTTAATAATTAATGCATTTCTATCCATCCTATAGACATACAAATTTAATTAGTTTGATTAGTTCTAGACCAGCCAAAGTCATGCTAGTGGTTACATATCCATTAGGTTGCCAAGACAGGAATGTGAGTTACCAGGCTCATCAAATAAATAGCTAAGCAAGTGGGCAGCAGGCCTACTGCCATAGGACAGCCAGTTTGTTTAGCTGAATATATAAAGTAAGTTATTATGTAATTATGATTATGGAGAAGTTGTATATAAACTGAATAGGAAGACAAGCAAACAGACATTAGTGTCACCTGTATGCAATAAGTAGGGCATGATGGGTCTTGGTGGTCTTCTGCAGTCTCTTTTTATAGGAGCGAGCGGCAGAAGCAAGCTGCTCCTCCCTGGCCCTGTAGGATGAACGCACATCCTGCAACATACTGTCAACAAATGCCCTCATCTTAGTTGGAGCTGAAGGGGTTTTACCTTCTCCAAATCCGTCAGTGTACTCCTGGATTAAAAAATGTGCAAATGAATAACACAGTCTGCTGAAGCTAGAGGACTCGATTTAAGTGCTCTGTGTTTATTGCTACTCACAGCTAAGTCTTGTAAATAGCAAACCAGCCTTGTACGGTATTCTTCATTCAGCCCTTTGATTTGAAGCTGCAGCTTTGAGTTCTCTTCTTCCATCTCTGTCACCTGGCTCTGAGAGCACATCAGAACCTCGAAAGAACACATCCCACACAGTATTTTAATTTGAACATCTTTGCCTAAGTTTTTAACTTTCTACTGAAATTATTATGACTTTCAGTCAGAGGCTACAAAACTATGATAACATCTACAAGAGTTTTAGGAAGGCTGGGATTGTTCATGCTCACCACACTCTGTTCAGATAGTTTCTGCTGGTTTTTATGGATCACTCTTTTGTTCTCCTGGTGTTCTTTACCCATAGCCACCCTGCTGACCAAACACAGACTCAACCACAAGAGAGTAATGACCAAAATCCGCAGAAAGCCACATCACAGAGAGGAGCAAAGAGACCACATCAGACACACACAGCAGCTTGGAACAAAAATCAAAGAGGGAACCACAGAGCAGAAGCTTATGGGCTGAACACTGTTCAGTGACTGGAAAGATATACTGGCCCTCACACTTTCTCTTCCAGTTTCTTCTGCTGCTTCTCATAAGTGTTTTTCATTTTCTCCAGCATGGCTTTGATGTCATCTTGATTTCCAAGGAGCTATGTGACAACAGATGAATGACAAGGCAGTTACTGGAACAGCAATTAGATATCTTACTGATGCATAAAACATATGTACTAGCCACTCTTCCCAAAAATGAGACATTGGTTATAAAATACTCACAGTTTTCTCCATAGTTTTCTGCTCCTTATTCAATGCTGCCAGATCCTCGGGCTGTTAATACAATGATATACAAACCCTTTCTGAAGCCCAGTGAAAATATCTTAGTCTTCATACAGAGCTGAGATGGTATTCTATTTTGTGCTAGCAAGGCTTTGTTGACAACTAAAACACAGGAAATTATGAGGAAATGTCAGACTTTTGCACCTAAAAGTACATCTTTTGGCACTAGAAATGCGAGCACCATGTTTTGCTTATGTTGTTAATGTAAAAACGTTTTATTTTTGGATGTCTGTAGTGGGATCAACCCTGCCTTCGCCTGATTGCTGCCTGGGATTGGCTCCAGCCCCCCGCCCCCGCGACCCCGTTTAGGACGAAGCGGCATAGAAGATGAATGAATGTAGTAGGATCAACCGGGCAGTTTCGGTAATAACTGATTTTTAATTTTGGTGTGAATTATTTCTTTAATGTCCCACTACTAATAAGAAAAATACACAGGCTCACCTTGACTCTGTTATGTGACATGCGGCTGATCAAGGCCCGCACCCTGTCCAGCTCCCCATGAAGACCCTGGGCTGTGGTCTTCACACTCTGCTGCTGCTCTTCCAGCTGCCTGCGGAGGGCGTCCTGAGCCTGAGCCAGTGCCAGCAGCTCGGCACTCAGCTCCTCACTCTGGGCCAGCTCTTTATGATGGGCCTCAGCCAGAGCCAGGTGTTTCTTCTTCAGTGTGGCATAATCCTCTGAAAGGTCCAGGCCAGCCTTCTCACCCACCTTCAGATGAGCCTCTGCTGACTGGAGTTCCCTGAATAACTTGTCTCGCTCCATTTCAAGTTGTGATATCACACCATCTTGGTTCAGTATCTAACCAGGGAAAAGTGTATTACAGACAGGTTCAGTGCTTCAGGGAACTTGTGTTCAAATTCAGGATCACATGGTGAGGAGTGATGCAAAGGGCAGTAAACCTCAATTTAAGCTTCCTAATAGACGCTGTAGCTTCTGCAACCTGGAGGAATCATTTACACTACAAGTCAATACAATATGATAAAAGAATACCAATGGAAGATTAATAAAATTAATGTTAAAAATTAATGCAGCTTTTTCATGCTGTTATTTTCATGGAGTACATTGAATTGAATATTCTGTTTTCACCTGATTTATTGAATGGAGGGAAAAGGCTTCCCATTGTTATAATTTACCTTTTACTTTGGGTAAAAACTCACCTTGTTTTTCAGCTCAAACATCTCTTCTTCAAACTGCTCTCTCATCTTGTTAGTCTGAATTTTCTCTTCTACTAGCTCTTTAGATATCTGAAAGATAAGACACAATCTATACTGGGCAGATAGATTGTGCTTAAGAGTTCATTTTTGCTTACATATTTCATGAAATCTACCTTCAGTTTTTCTTCTTCACTCTGAACCAGCCTGCAGGACAGATCTGCATTGGAGTTGGCCAGGTGACCCATTCTGTTCTCCAGGTAGGCCACTTTGGTAAAGAGCCGTTCATTTTTGACACGAAGCTGCAACTTAAGGTGAAGAGAAACACACTTCTTTACAACGAAGCTTACATTAGTGTTAGTTCATTAACCAACTACATGTCCAAAATGTGAGATTAGGTTAACCAACTACCTCACCAAAGCTTATACTCATTACACATTTCAGGAAAAATTTTGAAGAACTGCTGCATATCAATAGTGCATTAACAAGACTATTTATTTTACTTACATTTTCCTCTCTAATAACTTGAAGTTGCTCCTGAAGTTCACCTGAAGTTGGCTGGTGGTCCTGGGTGTTCATGTCTATACACTGTTAACAGCTGCTGCAATTAATGTATTCACCGTATCCACCAACAATACGTTGCCATGGTGCAACAACGCAAATCGCACTGGTACGGACACCAGTTTTTAATACTTCTCTTGATATCAGTTACTATTCATTAAATAAAATAGTACCACAAACGCTAACAAATATCATCACATGACCCAGCCTGTTCAAATGTACAGGATTAGCTAAATTTACAGTATTTGTTCTATGCTATATGAAAAACTGGACTGTATGAGGACATCTGTGTTTAATTATTGCATATTTATCTTTATTTCCTATCACAAAAAACAGCTGCAGCAAAATTTATTGAACCACAACTGCAATTAACAAAGGTTGCTGAATGTCATAAACAATAGTGTCCTCTAGCGAATACAGTTGGGATAACTGCTGACCTCTGAGAATCTCTTTTCATAATTATTTTATTTTGGAAACAAGTACATAAAACTAAAAGACCAACATGGTCACAGTATGCTTAATGTATATGAGTACATGTACAAAGACGTCATGTTAAACAAACAAAGTTGACCGGTCTTACCAGTCTGTTTGGTCTATTACAGTTTACTACTGGCATTTGAATACCTCTTATGCTATAAAACCTTTAAAGTCATACAGAGCAGGTAATAATAATATAGTAATAAAAATATACTAACCTTGCAGTGCATTGTAATGTAAAATATTAAATCATAATTACAAGGGCCAAGTAGAAACTCAGTGAAATGTATCAAAAATTGCTGCAAAATACTTTATAGAGATATGACTTTTGACACTGAGAGGACATCTACAAATAATACACCAACTGAATAAAAAAAAATGGTACCAAATGTCTGTAAACACATTTAGATCACAGAGTGAATCTAAAACAAACTGCACAATCAGATCCAAACTTAACATACATATTTCATTTGGAAGAAGGCAATAGTCTGTGTTCATCTACACCAGTCTGCACAAACAATTTTGGAAAATGTTGTCTAACTGTATATAATTTAGTTTTGCAGGGTGGTAGATCTATTACCTCTGTCGATATAAATTGACAGAGGTAATGGTAATGGTATTACAGTCAGTGGGTTCATTTTATCAATGTGGCTTTAGTCATCTCACCTTGCTGCATTTTAGAGAACTAACTGCACAGTCATCCCTGGACGAAAAAGTGCAGACTATACATTTAACTCCTCCTCCACTTCATCCTCCTCCTTCATACTGTGCCTTCTGTCACCAGGATCCATGACTACACCCATCTCTTTGTGCAGGGCCTCGAGGCTGGCCTGGCTAATGTAGTACCTAATGTTCTGCATTGGCAGCAGCTTCTGGAGCTCCTCCAGCTTATGATAAGCCTGGAGAAGAAAGAAGGAAGAAGACAGAGAGCTGAGTGTCCAAGAACTTACCAAGGTTTACAGTAGAGTCTCTTCAACACTTCATTGGCCTGGATGTGGACATTCCTTTGATTGCCTTTCGCCAAAGTGTCACTTGACCAATAAAACAACAGGGAAATAAGACAGTTACCATGTGGAAGTTGCCTTGCTGACAGTGATGCTCCACCAGGAAAGCAAATGCATCTCCAATCCTGACAGCAGGGTCCAAGTCTGGTTCCTCCAGCAGGGATTCACATAACCGCACTGCCTCACCAGCATCCTCCACATACAAACTGCAGACAATAAGAAAAGTTCAAAAACTCAGATCAATAACAAAGCCCCCACAAAAAAAAAAAAACTCTGTTCTGGAAGGAAAGAAGAGTGTGATGTTATGATACAAAACAGAACAAATTTAAGTGCTGTTCTTACTTGCGTGCATGGACAAACTTCTTGATTAGGGTTATCTTATGCTGCAGGTTAGCTAGTCTTACTCCCTGCTGTCCAGTTGAAGAGTCCTTTGCTTTTGAAAGGCATTTGGCAGCCTCAGTCAAAGCATCCAGGGCCTTCTCATAGTTCTGGTAATCATCAATCTCCACCTTAACAATGGTAACAAGAAAAAACTGTTATTTATTTAAAAAACACACACACACACACACACACACACCACACATGATCCATTAAAATGTAAAAACTACCAATGAAATGAACTAAATTTTATGTTTGGTTTATTTCCTTACCTGGGCACAGGCTTCATAGAAGCCAGCCAGCAGCTCCGGTGCCCTGGCTTTAGTGTAGAAGCCAATGATTGTCTTCAAGATCTCTGGATTTTTCTGCCAGTCCAGAGACTGGAGGTAGTTGGCAGCCATGATGAAAAGTTCCTTCTGACGACAAACATTGGCAAAAAATACTATTTTCTCTGTGTCGCCTGACTTGAGGAGTGCCCTCATTGCCTATAAAAAACAAGTACAATATAAATTTAAGCTTTGTGTTACATTTGCCTCTGCATGTGTATATATTAGCACCTGTGTATTGCACATGTTGCTAAAATATCTGACATCAGGCAGACAGACTGAATGGTCTTACTGTATACCTTGTCTCATCACACAGATGCAGATACCTGCTAGATGTACAGTATTACCTTGAGCTTGTTGCCCGCCTGAGTGTATTTCTTGGTGGCCAAGTGGTAATCACCCTGGCGCATGCAGCAGTCAGCTATCCTCTCCAGCAGCCCCTTTCGGGCCTCTTCAGACATATCTTTTGAATCAGTTACAGTCATCCTCTCCGCCATCTCGTCTGTGATGTTCAAGTTCTGGTTTACACACAGCTCCAAGGCTTGGTGGTACTGGGTACATGCACATGCACAAATGTAAAGACATGCATAAGTAATGTAAAGATGCATAATATAAAATGGTATTTCCATGTATAGATGATATATCACATAGATGTACCTTTTTGGCTGCTACCAGTAAATATACAGCCTTCTCGTACTGGGAATGTGTGATGAAGAAGTCAGAGCACCGTGTCAGTAGGGCTGGGTCTGAGTTCTCATTCAGATCCTCTGCAATCAATTGAAGTGCAGAGAACTGTTGGGTGGCAAAGGCCAACTCTAGAGCTTTGGAGACATAGCCAGCCTACAGAAGAGAAAGGACCAAAAAACATACTGCTGAAATTCTAGTTAATATCTTTACACTGCTATTTTAAATGAATGCTTCACTAACAGAACATGGCTCAATATAATTATATGTTGTAATACTGCCCCCTTGTGGATTGATTTAGAATGCAAACATTATCTTATTCATTCAGAAAAACTGCACAGAGGTGACAGACCTTGTGGTAGAGTGCAACAGCCCGGTCCATATGAGTGCCTTTCTCCTCATAGTAACAGGCAGCCTCCATCATGTCCTCTGGGTTACTGAGCAGAGCCAGGTTCATCAATTGGTCATCCAGACCATTCTCCTGTTTGCACACAATACACACAAGTCAACAACCCAGTGGGAGAAAAAAAAACAAAGCTCAGCAATAACAATGAATGAACAAGCATGCTGAATACAGAGTTAATCTGTACTAATAAAATCAAGGTATCATGGTGCACAAAATTTTGGCCAATAAATATTGTGATCAATAAAAGTCTTGAGTTATAAATACATACGTGTATGTTAAGTATTCAGAGAGATGTCTAACTGAGCATGCTCATGGACAGAAAGTTACACAGTGGAGTGCTTTACCTTACAAAGTCGTATGGCATTGTTGTAGGCCTGGGCTCGGGTGTAGAAGTGGACAGCCTGTTTGATATTATCATGACCCTCATAGTGTCTGGCCAGATGGTACGATGCTGCTCTGTCCCCTGTGTCATTGGCTATCTCAGATGCCTAATAAATAAATTAATTAATTAATTTTCATATGTCGACTTTTATTTGAGGATGGTAAGGCCTTTATCCCTCGACTTAAATTCAAAAAGAAAAAAAATCTGATATTATTATTGCAATATATGTCTAAGAGTGTAATTTCAAAACACTTAAAATCTATACTTGGAAAAAGGACACTAATATCTCATGTGCAATTTCCAGTATTAGTGACCTTCTGAATGTTCCCCATGTAGCAGTGGACTCGAACCAGGGAGAGGTAATCTTGGGCAAGTTCATAGAAACGCAGTGCTGAATCCATGTCTGACTGGCTCTCCAGGTACTGGGCCCACCACTTATAAATATTCCTGGGGGACATACACATTTTTTTGTTTAAATGTAACTTAGTGCATGCATATTCTAATATCATCTTCAGATGTCTATCAAGGGAAAACTCTAGACTTACTTGTCTTTCATTTTGTTAACGTAGGCTTGTAATAATGTTATGTCATCCTGGAGCATTCTGGGAACTTCAACCCTGTGTGTGTCTGAATTCTCATAGCTGTAACAAAAAGACAGATGATCACACTTTGTTTTCAAGGTACATTTGACCACACACAGAAGGTCATAAATACTAAAACTCCGAAGTACTCTTATCACTGACATAAAAACACAACTGATTGTGTCTTACTATTTGAGGGCCAGGGTCTTGTCACCCATGGACTCCAGGTATTTGGCATAACTGTAATAGGTGGTGCGCAGATGGATGCGATCAGAGAGTTCAGCCGTCTCTAAAGCTTGCTGCAGCTCTTGTACAACTTTTCTGCATCTTCCTGTTGGAAGACAGGAAAAGATGAGGGAAAGATGCGTGCTTTTGGTTCGGAAAGTCCCATGATTTAAGTGTGGTGAAAAGCACAGACCTAAAGAGAGGACATATTATTTGCAGCCAAATGATGTGGCACTATGTTTGACTGCAGAAGAACAGGAACTGGAGTGAGGAGATGGCCACTTTTGTTATTTTTGTTCAACTGCAATGTCTACCGTGCTCATTTTCTCAGCCTTTGAACATATGTTGTTTTTACATGTCACATCTCAAGTCATGTTTTTCCAATTTAAAAAAGTTGTAGGTAAATTTGAAGACCAAGTTACACCCAAAAGCAGATTAATACTTTTTCTTTTTCTTCTTTTTTTTGGTAGTTTATAAATAGCGCAAAGAAAAATGGTCATAAGTCACTGTTAGCCTGACTACGAGAGAGTCATTTAGACTCAGCACTTGAATATCTTACCAGCATGCCGAGCTGAATAGCCAACATTGCCACTTGGGCTTCTGGTTCAGGCTCTGCCTCTGCCTCCTTCAGTGCTTTTGCTGCCCGGGCATTTCCCATATTCCCAAGGCACACACGTGCAACATCTAGTCGGTGGGTTTTCACACACATCCGTGCCATGTTTTCCCATACTGCTTTACTAAAAAGAAAAGAGAAATGGCTTGTGATGTGTGGCACAAATTGTTGTGCAAAGAATTGTATATACACATCAAAAAGTAATACAATGTTGGCAAATGTTAGAATAATTTCCTATGTATAGATTACAGTTTATATTTTAGACTCAAACCCTTAGTGTGCATATATAAATGCAGACAAACCCGAGCCAAATACTGTACATGCCCTTGGATCTCTAGCACTGCAGTACTATTTCAATATTTCTCAACATTATAACAAGAATCCACCACAGGATTTGTGCATACAAATATATGCATAACCATACAAGAATGTGTGCGTCTACTCCCTTTTCTTTTGCTGCATTTCCAAATTTAAGATTCCACAGCCATCTGGTCTCTATTTGTGTCCCCTCCCTCCACCATGCTTTAGCTTATACAGATGTGAGTTGTTTATTAAGGTTAGGCAACAGGAAATACCCGAAATCTTTAGGGGCCCTGCTATAAGACGAGGAAGAACGGCCAAGTGAAGTAAAAGAAAGCAGTGGTAATAAGTGTCAGCCAAACTTTTGCTCTATATGGTCACAGAAAACTGAGCATTAAAACAAAAAATGAGATACTTTAAAGTACTGAGAAACATCCAGCCCACTGTACACACATCTACAGAGCCAGAAAAGGAAAGACAAGAGAAGGAGGAACAGGTCTACATTTGGCCACTCTTCCCATCCTCTTTTCCTCTCAGGAAACGCATCCTGTTGCTGGCTGGCTAGCTGTGGCAGCCAATATGTTTGTTGCACACAAGAGAGAGGACTTTAGCAAACGCCCCCTGGGCTCCAGACAAAAGGATATATAACTGTGACGTCTAAGAGGGACTCTTTTGGACATTCCCACACACAAACACACACACACAAACATACACTTAAAGTGAGCATGAAGGTGGGAACTGTCTGTTTAAAGCGCGCTACAGTTGCGAAGTGATGTCTGGGTGTATGAAGAACAGCAACTCCCCCACTGTTCAACTCTGACCTGAAGGATTAAAGAAACAGTGAGTAAGAGAGACAGAGAAAGAGAGAGACAGACACAAAGAAGCAGAGGGAGGTGGGCTAGAGGACTACTTGTTCCAGTCAGGCAATGGGGGCTCTTCATGCTGAGAAACAGTCTTGGTATGCTTAAGCAAAGCTACCAACGAGTCAGCTCCTAGCAACTCTGTCCGGACAAT